ACCCGCTACCCACCGTACCCCACCCGCTACCCACCGTACTACACCACCCGCGACCCACCATTCCCCCCCAGAACGCCCTGTAACGACGAATTTTGTGCTGGTGCTGGTGAAAACCTGATCCACTTCACTCACTTCATCACTCTGTCTGTTCTGGCTCTGGTGCTTCATGCGTTTGTTGGCCGTTCCTGAATGGAACATAAATGTTGTACTCCGAGTACACATTTCGGGTACGTCTACCTTACGTGACTGCATTTTATTTTTCTACTTTTACAGACTGCCTACTAATAAATACACGCATAGCTCAGGGGTGAATAAATATATCTATTTTCTCAGTTGTCTTCGAACCATTCTAATTGTGACTGTTGCTGCGGGCATTTTAAAAAGAAGGTGTTACTAGAAAATGAAGTAAAACTACAAAAAAAAAAAAACTGAACCTTTCAAAGCTTTAATTCTAGAATGTGAAGTGACAGAATGTTGTAAGCGCACATGTACTCATTTATATCTGATGCACTTTGATTTAAAACCTTGTTTCATGGAGGAATGTTGGTTTCCTGATTAAACCATGCAATAAACTATTTTAAAATCAAACCGACTGTTTTGTTTTGGGGGTTTTTTTGCCACTTGCAAGCAGCGGAACCAGCAGCTTAAAGACTATCGCCTCATATCTCAAGATAAACGAGCATTTTCCACTTTACACACAGACAAGGAGCAACACCAACAACACTTTAAGCTGAGTTTGTGGCCACCTGAAGGATGCAAGTTTAAGATTCACCATTCTTTTAGGTCTGCTGCTGCTCAGCTGCTGGGTAAAAAGTATTTGCTGTAAAGAGCATAATCTAGAAATGAGACAACTGGACTGATGAGACAGTAAAGTGCTGTTGTTTGTACTTAAAGGAACCGCTGTGACATAACAGGATTGTGGGTCAAAATAATCAAAAAGCCCGCTGGCGTGCAACCTGCAACATCTCCCCAGATGTGGGAGGACTTGCTGGTATGTTTTTTAGTACGCTATATATTGGGACACACTAAATCTTTTTCCTGACATACTGTATAGTACGGATGTATAGATACTGGAGTGCACTTTGAGTTGTGCTCCAGTTTGAGATCAATGGAGAAATCAGAAATGCTGCTGTGACAGCTACAGCACACACATGTTGCACTGACTGACGTGCTCCACAAATGGTCTCTGTTGAGAGAAAAACAACATCTAAAAAAAAAAAGACACCAATATCTGCTAAGCTAAGCTAAACGCCTGCTGCCTATAGATTCAGATCCACTGCACTGATTATAAGAGGGGTGGCTTTGTTGACACAAGAAGAAAATTTCCAAAAATCAATCAAGCACAAACAACATTTGTCTCACTTTCAGAAATACAAATTGATTTTCCCCTAAAACTGTCTCCAAACGTTTTGACTGGACGTAAAAGCAAAACGAAGACCTTAAAGAGTGAGAAGCCGAAGCTAAGTCCAGCGTCACCGACACATTTCTGGGAGTTTGCCTCGATGAGCTACTTCAGTGAAATGGCATGAATTAATTTGATTCATTCCCAATATTTAAAAAAAATGAACTGAAAAGCGAACACAACGGAGTTCATGTATGACGAGGAAACTTGGCGAAAACTGAAGCGTGTTAAATATGAAACTGTCCTCATCGGCTGCTCGCTCAATCTGAAACACTGGAAACTGCGCTTTGATTTCCTGCCTTGTCATTTCCCATGGAGCTCTTCAGAAAGGATTAGAAATGCTCTGGCACTCACGGGCCTGTTCACCTGGCAGGAGAGTGCGACTCATCTCCTCTGGCCTGCAGGATCAATCAGGTGAAAAACGACATGCACTCCAAGTGTCCAAGAGTGTGTCATGAGGCGTTTGTGGCACACATGTGGCTTTGTGCATCATATTGTCCTTAAATGCCCTTCAAGGTGCAAAAACTCGATCTGAAATGAAACCTAATTGGGCCAAATGCACCTTATGTTTGCTTTCCGTTCACTCTTTACCTTCTAATTTTCAAATATTCACACATGGATGCAGCTCCTGCCCCCAACAGGCCGCGGCAGATAATTTGAGACAAACACGTACTCCAATATGTTCTGGGTGGCTGATCGGAAAACTAACTAGCAAGCGGCCCGAAGCAACGGCAACGCTCTCATTGTTATTCTGTGGCTGTGATGCTGTTTTATTATTTTTACTCTCGGTGGTGTAAATTGTGTGTTTATGGACTTTTCTCACACAGAACAACAGAAGACAGAACAGGAAGAAAAAAAAGTCCCTATAAATTTGGCTCCAGGGCAAGAAACACCTTCCAGAAAACAATTCATTTCCATGATGCAGTAGCAGTTTGTTTCCGTCTCGCTCCCTTTAAATGAGCAACATTTTTCATTGCTCTTTTTTGTAAACATCTTCACCTTCGAACGGTGCTGAAGGTTACCAGAAGAGAGTCCCTGAATGGTCACAGCGAGAGGGTTTCTGAGGACTGCTTCTAAATCACCTTGTAGTATCCTTTACAGTCCCTCTGATTCACATCAACAGATCCAAACCCGTCTCCCAAAAATGAGGCAGAAACCTGCCCTCACCCTGCAATCATCCTTACACTTCATTTTGTTTTCACTCGCTGTTTCTACCGTTAGGTTTAGGAAGATGTCACGTTCTAGTTGACTCGTTAACAATAACTACTTGTTAGAAGCTTTTTTTAACTGAAGGCACCAAAATTACTCAGTTAGGTTGACAGTCAAGCACTAAAATGACTCGATAATCCGACCCTTAACAATCTGAAAACCTGCTAT